GTCTCTCGCAAGTGAGACATGAAACGAGCAATATCCTGCACAGATACCTTATCTGGCGAATGAATGTGATGTTTACAACACCACTTCGTGAAAATAACCCAACGTGCATTATACACCTTCTGGGTAGAATCACGATGCATACTAACGTATGCCCGAGACGCCCGGCGAGAAAAACCTTTACTCCTCAGACGCTCGGTGACAACATCCACGCGTGCAGATTGAACTGCCCTGCGTTTGGATGAAGCTGACGGGTGTGAGGGTGGATCAAGAGATCCGGTCTCACAGGCAGTGGGAGTGGCGACTGCGTGACCTGGGTCAGCAAGTCCGGGTACCACGATCTGTTCGGCCACATGGGCGCGATCAGTAACATTCGACAGCGAACTCCTCGAAGCCGGCTTAGAATGTGTGGTATCAACGCTGTCGGCGGGTAAGCATAAGCGTCCAAGCCCGTCCAGTCTAACGCGAGAGCATGGTGATCGATGGCCCTCGGGTCCGGGACTGGTGATACAAACAACGGGAGTTGATTGTTGAACCGCGTTGCGAACAGGTCGACCATCGGACGACCCAAACGTTCGCACAGCCACTGAAACACTACTGGGTTCAGCATCCACTCTGTGGGGCTCGGATCCCGAGGCCTCGATAGAGCATCGGCCAGTACGTTCCGCACACCTGGGATGTGACGGGCGCGTATCTGGCACGGGACACTGTCCACCAGAGCGTAAAACTCGAACGTGAGATCGAGCAGCGAGTGACTGTGGGTTCCCCCCAGTTTGTTCACATAGGACACTACCGTCGTGTTGTCGGTCGCCAGCATGAGCCGGGCGTCGACGAGACGATGCTTCCAGTGATTGACTGCGTTGATCACTGCCTTGAACTCGAGTTCGTCTACGCACCACAGCCCCGAGCTCACCTCCCCCTCTAGATGGGCGCCCCAGCCCACTAGAGAGGCGTCTGTATACAGGTTCAACGTGGCCCGGTAGGGCCGCATAGAGACTCCTGATAAGACATTGTAAGGGACCGTCCACCACTCCAGATGCGGTCGGAGCCGATCCGGGAGGGCGACGGTCGCACTGTTCACCTCCGTTGCTAACAACTGGATTAAAAACCGTTGCAGCGGGCGGAGTTGGAGACGACCCCGTACGGTGCAGTCCTGGGCTGATACAAGTAGCCCTAACAGCTGTTCCCAAAAGTGAACAGTCTGTTGCACCGCTAAGACTTTGGCAATCATCGCCTGAATTTTGTGCCACCGGTCTGGGGGGACAAATAGGCGATGGGACACCGTGTTGAACCGACCTCCAATGAACTGCAAGTTCTGAGAAGGGGTTAACTCGCTCTTGGGGAGATTGACAATCCACCCCAATTGCTCCAAGAGCCGACGTGCGAAAACGAGATGGCGTGACAGGGTGTCCGACATTCGATTTGCTACTAGCGAGTCGTCCAGGTACGCGAAGTACCGGACACCCCTCCGGTGGAGGAACCCCACTATGGGGGTGGTTAACCGGGTGAACAGCCAGGGAGCGGACGAAAGACCGAATGGGAGTACAACCCACTCGTAGTGCCTGCCTTGAAAGACAAACCTGAGATACCTGTGATGATCCGAGTGAATCGGAACATGCAGATAAGCATCCTTCAGGTCGATCGAAGCTAGCAAGTCGGCCGGCATGATCAGTGCTTTCAGGTCCGTCAAGCTCAACATTCTGAACTTGGGCGGCTTGCGCAGGTAGAACTCGTTGAACGATTTCAAGTTGTGAATCATTCTGAGTTCGGCACTGTCCTTCTTGGGAACGAGAAATATCCTGGAGTAAAACCCCGGTGTTATTTCTGGTAGAGCTAACTCCCGAACTGCCCTCTTCTCCACCAACCTGCCGATGGCATCGGCGAGGAAGGGAAGATCCTGCCGACGGGGCAACGGTGAGCGGCGGATTCGCTTTGAGATCGAGCCGATAGCCGTACCGAATCGTGTTGACCACCCACGGGTCGTCGAACACTTGTTCCCAATTCTCCCAGTAAGTCTGGAGTCTGGCTCCCACTGGGGAAAGAGAGGGGGGCCGGACGGGCTGCGGCAGGCGCAACTGTCCAGGGCCGTGTGACTCGGGTTCGCCTACGGGCCAACCGAAGTTGGCGCTGTCGGCATACGAACCCCTCCAATGAGAGTCACCTGGAGGGGCCCTTGCCGTCCTTAGACGACTTGGGCTTCCCCCAGTTCCCCTTCTTCCCGCGAAAGGGCTGCTGAGAACCCTTACCGGAACCCTCAGAGCGGGGCTTCTTCCCGGAGGAAGAAGGACCCGACCCCTTAGGCCTGCCGGACGCAGCAACCTGGGGCGCGCTCCGCTTCGGAGCGGCACCCAGGCGCCTATGCAAGGACCCCACAAGATCCAGTGTGTGCCGAGAGGCCTCGGCAGACACAGCGGCCTGTTGTTCCTTCAGAACCCCAGGGATCTTGTTATTAAACAAGGTCCGAGCAGACCAAGGCTGCGAAAGGAGCACCTCCTGATTGGCAGCGTCCAACCCTGAAGCAACCAGATACGACTGGCGCCGAAGAAAATGGCACGTGCCGGAAACAAAGGCCGAAGCCCCGGCAACGTACTCCAGGGAAGCATTCAAACCGAGCAAGCAGTTGTAAATGCGCTGGTCACGGTCCGTGGGAGAACCTTCGACCAGACTGGCCGCCGCAGCCAGGTATGTGTCTCCGTGAGACATAGCTAGCATGGAGTGTCGAGCGAGGGTGTCCAGCTGTTGCAGGGTACCTTGCGGTACCGTGGCAACCGGTGGGGCACGGACCCCCAAACGCTCCACATGGGCTTCCGCAGAAGGACCAGCCTCGGGAAAGGCAAGGTCATGAACTGGGAAAGACCCTTTTCTCCACGACGGGGGAGGTAACGGGAGACCCCGACCGGAGGCAGCCGTGAAGGCTTTCTCCAAAGACGGCTTAATCCCGCGCAGCAAGGTTGATGCCGGGAAAGCCTTGTCGGATGACTCGTCGTATACCTCGGAGGAACCCACGGAACCGTGGATACCCCGCGGTATCGGCAGGGGCTTTGGCATGTCCTCGAAGAGGTCATACACCATGGCCACGCGGTCCTTAACCGATAGCGGAAGCAACGGTTCGGGGGAAGGACCGGTAACCACGGCAGCCGGCGCCGTACCGGTGGACCCCGCGTCCGAATCCGCGGCCACCGAAGAGGCCGGGGACGGAACAGCCAGCGGCCTATCTTGCGATAAGGCCGCCAGCTTGGAGTCCACAATTTGCGACAACAATGCGGCGACGGAAGCCCCAGACAGCCCGAGGGCCGCAAGGGGATCCGCTGCAGCCGACAAGGAGGTGCCCGCACGGGGGCCCCGACCGGACGAACCGGCCACCACAGGGGTGGAAACGGACTGCGCGCACAGCCGGTACCGCTCAAACTCCGCAGGTCCCAGACCTTCGCACAGGGTGCACCGGGTTTCCTCGCAAGGAACCCTGCACCGCGGGCAACGATCGTGGGGATCCCGGGACGACAAAAACTTTCTGCACACCCCACAACTCCGAGGAGCAGGGGTAGAGGGGGTGGAGACAGGGGACATATCCATGTCAGACATTGATTGTTTTCTAGAAACAAAGAACAAAACATGGTTACAACGCACGCACCACAATGATTCACAAACGAACATTTTCACAAGAAAATAAACGAGCAATGTGAACATATAACATACACATATAACTTTTACTAAAGAAATAAGTTATGTTAACCCCCAAAACATACAAGAACAGGGGAAACGTAAAACACAACGTGCATACGCGAACCCCGCAAGTATATAGAAAAAAGGGCGGGAAAAATTTTCCGTTTGGCGGGAAAATTATAACCAAGCGTAGCTACCGCAACGCCCCATAAAAGCACAGTTTATTAGAGAATAAACGATAATAAATATCACCAAATCTTCAAGGAACGCTTCAGCAGGAGAAAACACGTCTTGCTAAGCAGACGAAGGAGACAAGAGTGAAGGGTGTCACATGGCAGCTAGGTGGCTACGCACGTGCTGCATGAGGTAATTGAGATCTCTGTGGTAGATTTCGCTATAGCAGCAGTTGTGGGAGACAACAGCCTCGGTATAACAGTGGTAACGTATTACTTAATGTAATTCATTAATTCGTGTATAATGCGCAACCCCTTCTACACAGCTGTGTATTTTGGAAAAAAAAGTGAGCACTATACTCAAGAAAATATGGTAGGTAAAACTGTGTTATGAATATATCGTATGTATCGCGATACATGATTTCCAAGTCGATGCATCGTATCGTGGGCTGTGCATCGGGATACAATACTCTATTCGCCGTATTACATCACTAATTGCTATATCCCCCTCGCATTATATGCCTGGGATATAAATGTGCCTCTACAACCTCATACCAGATTGAAGCACCTTGACAATCATTGCACACCTCAACGCAATGTGCCTCCACAACCTCATACCAGATTGAAGCACCTTGACAATCATTACACAACACCACACAATGTGCCTCTACAACCACATACCAGATTGAAGCACCACCACACAATGTGCCTCTACAACCTCATACCAGATTGAAGCACCTTGACAATCATTACACACCACCACACAATGTGCCTCTACAACCTCATACCAGACTGAAGCGCCTTGACATTCATTACACACCACCACTTAATGTGCCTCTACAACCTCATACCAGATCGAAGCACCTTGACAATCATTGCACACCACCACACAATGTGCCTCCACAACCAGATTGAAGCACCTTGACTCTAGCTTACATACTGAGAAACCTACAGGCCCTGGGGAGGATATGTACTAAATTCGAGGATGACTAATCAATGTGTGCATGCGTGCACGTCCGAGCTACATAACACTACTTTATTTTTCCTATATTTTTAAGAGATGGACATAATTCACTTGATGAATCAAATTGTAAGTAGTGTTCCTGGGTAAATTATTTTAAAAATGACAAACAGGGTGACATTTTGGGGGGCAACAGTGACACCCACCTGTTCTTAATCTTTTCACTGGTGGCTGGCTCACTAGCTCAAGGTCCTCCTCGGTCTCAGCTGAACCAGCCAATACCAGGTGACCTCCTGGTTCCTCGTCTGAACTGACCACGCTGTTTCCAGAGTCATCCTCTGTTGTGAAGATTTCCCCAGCTGAACTTGCCATGTCAACATCAGAAATAGCCAAATGTCCTTGAGGCTCAGAAGTGGCCATGTGACCTTCAGACTGCTCACCAGAGGTTGCCATGGGACCTTCAGACTGCTCACCAGAGGTTGCCATGGGACCTTCAGACTGCTCACCAGAAGTTGCCATTTGACCTTCAGACTGCTCACCAGAAGTTGCCATTTGACCTTCACACTGCTCACCAGAAGTTGCCATGTGACCTTTAGACTGCTCACCAGAAGTTGCCATTACCAGATGGTGTCCACAGTCTTCATCTGTACTGGCCACCACAGTTCTCTTCACATCGCCATGCACTATCTGTGAAAATGGAGGGGAATCTAATCAAGCTGTGACAATAAGTGAAGCCAGTCCGACATCATTGTGTCATGGGTACTGTAGCTCACCAGCTGTATATCGAGATTGCAGGTCATCATTTCAGTATCCCATTTGGGTTTTCATGGTTAAAACTTTACTTACAACACACTTTTTATAATGTCCTCTGTATTGAGCAGAGATTTCTTTGATTAAGAAAAGGGCTTTGTTGTTTATATTAACAAAAACATTGGTATTTTTTATTCTCAAAATGCATCTTCCTATCTCATTTATGAACACTGTCCATGATATAACAAGAGTACCACACGTTCAGAACCTTCTTCTTTGATGTAACATTTGAGGAGGTTCCAAAGAATTTGTGATAACTTCTTTGAAATGACCTCCTAATTTGTTTAATATGCTGACAAAAGAATAATGACTGCTATGTCATATTCCAAAGTCCTATTTCTCTGGTGTCTACAGACTCCCAGAAATATTCACAGTAACTGTCCAAAAAATTAAAGACTATCTGTAAAAAAAATACATCCCACGTCAAACCAAGAATCTTTTTTTTAAATATAACGTAACCTAATATAATTGGTTGATTTACATTAGTTTTTTTTCTTTTTTATGGTATTATTATTGCATGTCTACCAAAGATAAATTCCAGATGAAGCCTTCTCATATAGTAATTATTGTGCATGCAAGGGTTCAGCTTTCTGTCTTGGGATTGCCGAGGGTCAAAATTCATTCATGGTTGTGAAACATACTTGCCAAAGTTCAGCTTCCTCAGTTTTGGAAGTGATGAGTCTAACTGGGCTAAAAATACATTTGAAAGGTCATGGTCATAACGTAAGACCATCTCCTTGGTCTAGAGATAGAACGTCAGTGGTTCGATCCCTGGCCGTATCCTACCAAAAGACATTAAAAGAAGGTACTTGTCACTCAGCCCGACACAGTAAGGGGCTAAAACAAGGACTGGAAAGCTTGGGTCAGTATATTGTTTCTGAGTGGTGTATTCATGTTAAACTGCGGATTGGTATCTCAGAGGGTTAGATCTATAAAATCAGCATTAGTCCGGAGTAGTACAACCACGCGAACATGCACATACATGCACACGCTCACAATTTGGGACGTGACGTTAAACACCATTTCACCTCGCATCAAAACATGAAGGTTAATCAAGGTCAAAATGTACAATATCAGAAAAACAGAACTTTTGAGTGTCTTGGCAGCCACATCAAAAATTGGATTTCAACGTCTTTAACATATAGGGATGTCATCAAGCTTCAGCTCAATCAGTGTCACACCAGAGAAGATATTCAGGAAGCACAACAGACAAGGACAAACAGACTGACCTCAAAATGGCGGCCGTGCTCAAAGTTTGATGAACATTTATATGAGCACTTTATAGGACTGAGATACAATAGCTTGTATGATTCATGCAAAGTTTCAGATTCATAGGTTTGGCAGTCTAACGACAGATGGACCAACGGCGGCACAACGCTCATAAAATGAATTTAACATCCCTGTCTGAAATCTGCTTTAACATTTGGGTTTTCAAATCACTCCGGACGTTTTGTCTGCATGCCTACGTGTCTGTTACACAGACTCCGAATACTGAGTACATATTACTAGCTGATTACATAATACTATACCAAATATACTCACGGAACACTACGTCGCGGAATACGTTGCAAGCCTTCAGCATGTTGAGAAGTGGTAGACTGGTACTTGAAACAGCATCCTGGTTGACACATCTAGCTGTACTTCCGTTGCAGTGCGCGGTAGAGCGAATCCTACTTTCGCTTTCACTTTCAGAATCTTGCTCGATATACAGCAACAAGAAGTTCCCGTCCCGTCCTAAATATGATCCCATCATATCAATTGTCCTTCTCTTACTGCCATTTAAAGTTATTTCGTGAGTTCATGTTTCTAAACTGGCTTTTTGCTCGTTGTTCTTAAAGAAAACTGAAAACGGGAATACCAAAACTATTAATAGCTTCGTCCCGCAGTCTATAGTAATAGTTAATTCCATTGGTTGTTATTACAGATACAGCCTGGTTCCTTTGGTATGCTACGCTGGCGCTAGACTATGCCAATAAAGTGTGATATCAGAGACGGGGCCCAGCTTACACTATGTAGCGCCAGCGCGGCATACCCGGGGAACCAGGCTGTTTCAACTTACTGAATGAACAGATGGAACCCAGCTTCTGGCCAACACACCACATTGACTGGTTCCCGTTCGTTCCTGCACGGACCAAAATTATATAGGCCCGTGGTAAGTTGTTTTATTCACAAAAAGTGTTAGGCCGTAGGCCTATTACACAGAAGTATTTACAGAGAGAGGGAGAAAAAAGAATTACCACTAGTTTACATATACATCCATATCCATACACATTCATACACATGCATATACACAAATAAATATTTAGACTGTATGTAATGAACGAAGTCGAAAAGCTTTGTAAACGTAGACTGCTAGATTTCGTATGATTTTAGAGTTAGTGGATGACATAAGAGCATTAAATTTATTTTTAGAAGGGGTTGTAAAATATTTAGGAGGAATGTATTCAGCTCTTAAATTATTATAAGCATTGCATACAAGCACAAAATGCTATTCGTCCTCAATAAAATTCTGGTTACACATCAAACACAGTCTCTGTTCTCTTATTTCCTTAATATATCGACCGGTCTCAATTCTCAGCCGATGGGAGGAGCATCTCAACTGAGCAAGAGCAGCTCTGAATTTTGAAACATTTACTACCTTGATATAACTTTCTAAGCCAAATGAAATTTTGTAAAGAGAGTAACTCTGGGATTTAGTGCTAGATGAAACAGCTGCATGCCAATCTTGCTCAGACGAGGCTTTTAAACGGTTTACAAATTCCAAGATAAAGCTTCTACTATTATTACTAAATTGCATCTCCCATTTGTAGCCAAAACCAAACGAACAGAGAATGTGTTTCATTTTAGAGACCCAGTTGATCTTACCATTATTAACATCAAGTAATAATAATCTATAACATTTCTTAACTAATCTATTTTCAGGTAAATGTAAAATTCTGTACCAATAAGTAACTACACGCTTATAAGCCCATATGTACATAGGATACCTTCCACATTCCCCCCGAACCACATGATTTGATGAAGATTGTTTAACCCCCAGAAAGCGTTTACATGCTAGTATCTGGATTTGCTCTAATTCTTTGTAGGTATGTACACCCCAAATCTCGGAACCGTATAAAAGAATTGGAGATATTTTAGAGTCAAAAACTTTGAAAAACAAGTCATAAGGAAGAGGTTGAAGCATTTTTAGAGATTTAATGACACCAAATAGGACCTTTTTAGCTTGTAAAGCAGCACTATTAACATGCAAAGACCAGGAGAGAGTTTTTGAAAGAATGGTACCGAGATATTTATAAGAACTTACACACTGAAGTTTTTTACGCTTGAAATACCACTTTTCATATTTTGATAAAATACCCCCGTTTTTAAATACCACTACCTTAGTTTTATCCAAGTTGACTGTTAGATGATAGTTACTACAAAAACTTTCCAGAGCTTTTATGCGTTTTTGAAGGCCATACACAGTATCAGCAATAAGTGCAACATCATCAGCAAACAACAATAGAAAAATCTGTACCGTGTCAGGGTGTAGCTGTACACCTGGAGTGCATGTTGATTCTATATACAAAGCTAAGTCGTTTATAAAAATAGAAAATAAGAATGGACTCATTATGCAGCCTTGCCGAAGTCCTAGAGGGCAATCAAAACATTCTGTAAAACAATTTCTGATCTTAACACAGTTTTTAACACAGGAATAGATGGATTCTAATGCATTTAACATTTTTGGGGACACACCTCTGGATTTAAGAACTAGCCAAAGTTTAGATCTATTTACAAAATCGAAAGCCTTTTTAAAGTCAACAAAAAGAACATATAATTTACCACGCTTCCTAGACAGATAATGCTGGATTACAGACTGCAGAATAAATATATTATCAATAGTACTATAACCTTTCCTAAAACCAGCTTGGGAGTCACAAATTTTATCATACGCATCAGACCAGAACGTAAGTCTTGAATTAAGTACAGATACATAAAGTTTACAAAAAGTGCTGAGCAAGGAGATACCACGGTAGTTATTGGGGTTTGAGTAATCGCCCTTCTTATGCAGAGGTATGATAACACCAGTACACCACGACTCGGGAAACGAACCAGTTTCAAATAAAATGTTAAACAAGGTTGTTAGGTATGGTACTATTAAATCACTTGATGCTTTGAAAAATTCAGAAATAAGAGAATCATTTCCTGGCGACTTACAGTTTTTTAATTTATTGATAGCTTGCAACACCTCGTCTTCAGTTATACGGCTGTCAAGGATAGAACATGTGACATCATCAAAAGGATAATCTACACAATCTTTCGTAATATCACGAGAGAAAACGGTATGCATATCTTGGAATAAATTTTTAAAATGCGAAAACCAGTCACTAATGGGGATAGACGATTCCCTTTCGTCAACACCATTGTATTTTCTTAACATTTCCCAGAATGTTTTGCAATTATTGATATTGGATGAAAGTCTATCACGAATCAAATCATTAAAAGCTCTTTTCTTACACCTTACGATATCCATATATGTTTTACGCTGCAGTGAATAGGCTTGTAACGAAACATTATCCTTTTTCCTATTAAAAACATCTAGTAGTCGGAAGGCTTCTCTTCTGTGATAACCACATTCTTTATCAAACCACGGCTTGTCGCGTCCATGACGCTGAACAATCATACGCTTTGTAAAATCTGCTGCTTTCAACAAAGCGTCCGTAAACTTACTAATTGCTGCATTTATGTCTGTTAATGCTAACGTAATACAATCATCAAACAATTGCTTACTTTCATCACATGAAACATTTTCTCTTAACCGATCACCAAAGTTATCACGCCAAGTATACTTAATACAAACTTCGGGCTTCACATTCTCACCCGACATAGCGTTGTCAATTTCAGTGTTACGTGACTGAAAGGTGCAATTGATTGGCGCGTGCGGAGACTCGATCCGAGATCCGATGTTAAAATTCTTACACAATGTAAACAGATCACTTGTTGTGATAGCATAGTCAATAACGCTTGCGCCTGTAGAGGACACAAACGTAAAATTTCCCACACTGGCATCAGATCCACATCGACCATTAAGTATAGACAAGTTAAGAGAAGTACACATTAAGCAAAATTCGCCCAAATTTGTTCACAGTCTTATCGGATGAAAATACCCTCACATAGAAAATGACACTTGTCAATTTGCAGAGCTCTCATTATATCGTCCTCAACAAAATCAAAATCTGTCCCAGTGCGGGCGTTGAAGTCGACCCCGAGGAGGATAGAGACGTCCCCCACTTGTTGTAGTACATCTATTAACGCATCCTGGAGTATAGATACGCCGCACTTGTTGGCTTTATTGACATACCAATTTGAATTCTCTGGATTGATGTATACACAACCTATAAGAGTGTCCTTAGCATTATTAAATACAGATTTCTTTAGCAAAATGAAAACACAGTTGTCACATATTTTTGACCACAAAATGGATTTTGAAAGTGTGTTTTTTATTAACAATGTAAGCCCGTGGTTACTGAGAAGACAAATATCGAGAAGCCAAACTAACACAATCAGTAAACGAAAATTGCCAAAACGCTTCGCCCCATTTTCCACAAACCTGTTTCCGTGTTTTAATCTGTCCCGCATAATCGGCTCATGAAACAGGACTCGTTTCCGAAATTCATGCTTATTCATTGTCCAAACGACCTTTGAGGCGGATTCGATATTCGATTTATTGATACTAGTATCTAAAGTCATTAAGTGATATCAATATGTAGGGAGGAAATAGTAAAATGGCGCCCATAGCTAACAATCATTGTTGCCTAGGGAGTTTGTGGAAACAAGGTTTGTGCGTGATTTGTTGTCTCGCGGAAATAAACATTTTGCCAATAAGTGTTGAATTCTAAAACTTGTTGCAGCGTATCCATATATTTGTACTTTGTTATAACGTGTGGTACATACACAATTATATGCACCGTCGTAGGTACACGTAGATAAAGTTAGTTCTACACAAAGTAACATTGAAAATGTCGTACGTTTACATTCACTTTCTATACCATAAGCACGGCCTTCAGAGAAACGTTCTATTTGTCGATACATAATATTGATCTATACCAGTCCACTTTTGGTAGGGATATTTGTATATTTCCATTTATAATACATAAAAACATTCTCATATTAATCATTGTTGCCTGAGGATTTTGTGTGAACAAAACACTTTTTGTGCGTGAAATTGTGTCTGGCGGAAATTATCTAGATTTGTTTATTTATTTTTATTATACATGAGATATAGACAATCATATGATTCGATTCCCAACATGGGCAGAAAGTGTGAAGCCCATTTCTGGTGTACCCCGTCGTGATATTGCTAGAATATTGCTAAAAGCGACGTAAAATCATACTCACTCACTGATTCCCTATTGGTCCTGTTTTTCAGTGAAGTACAAGTCACATCTTCAAAGCCTTAAACATTTGTTAAAACCACTTTAACAGCAAGTGGGAAACCTTACTGACAGTTGCTGCAGATTTGAGCTGAGCAGGTCTACAGCTACATCAACGGTGACACCATGCTAAAAGCCCAATATTCCAGATGCCAAAACAACTATAATAGTTAATGTTGTGATTCATTCTAAAACTTAATAAATACATTTTGAACAAAGCCAGTAAGTGTACATCATATATCTGATATTTCGTATCTTCCAGCAGTAGGCTTGTGTTATCCTATTATTACAAGCAGATTCTATTTTTGACTTAACGTAATGGGGGCGGTCTGGGTAGCCAAATGTTTAAAGCGTTCACTCGTCACGCCGAAGACCCTGGTTCGATTTCCTACATGGGTACAATGTGTGAAGCCCATTTCTGGTGTCCACCGAAATAATACAATGGCAATATACTGCTGGAATGTTGCTAAAAGCGGCATAAAATCAAACTCACTGTGAAAGAATATGTTGTGTGTGGGTTTCAATCCGCGAATCACCCTGATTATTACCCATGATTCAACAGCATTGTCAAAGGTTTAGCTTTAGTTGAAACATCTATGACAGTGTCAGTTGCTGCCAAGCTGTCCTTCTCCATAAAACGGGCGGAGGGGTGGGGTAGGTTGGGATGTTGGGGGTCAAAACAAATCTCACGTCTTCAAAAGTTTAATAAGGGATGTCAGAGAAAATTATGTATGTTTTATCTTTATTCTCACAGACAGTCGAATCAAAGAGCAGCACATACAAGAAGTGACGGACAGGTTGAAACAAGGGAAGGTGGAGTGCTACCTGTGTGGTCCATCCCCCATGATAGCAAGTATAGAAACAATGCTTAAGGCTTGTGGCATCACTGAACCCAGCATTCACTACGAGAGATGGTGGTAGATGCTCTGGGATTGTATATTGGAGGAGTATCATGGCATTATGGAATTCCTATGGTATGTTTTATTGAGTTTTAAGCACATATCAGTTGTGCCCTTGACAAATGTAGTGATAATTCCAATGAAGTGTTGCTGTATTTGTCAAAGGAATTTCCATGAAGCCCTCAAAAACCTGAATAAAATCTGTGATCACTGAGCAGTCTCAATTTTTATTGATTTACAATTTCAGGTTTTCAGGTAACTGTAGTACTTTTCCCTTGATAATTCAGGGTGGAACTGGTCCCTGTACTGCATGCTTGTGGTTAGAGTAACTACGAAATCATTGCTTTTACTGCTCTGCTATTACTGTTGGATATCTAGTGGTCGCTGACACATAGCTACGATTCACGCCTTCATAAGCTTCTTCTTCAGTAGATGTTGAATTTGCACCGTCCTTCACCAGCTCCGTCACTGTACCTTACAGAATATCATTTAACCATATACCCCCTTGTTCCCGAACCACTTACCTTCAAGTTCACCCAGTATTTCAACTGAAAATGAATTTTGTCAAAAGGACTGCACCTGTCAAAACAAAGGGGTCGAGTTTACTGTTGGGCCAATGTGTCTAAAATTCTTAACCTGGACAGAGACAGCAAACTCACAAAACTCAACTCCTTTCCTACTGCAACAGGAATAATAGTAGATTATATGTGGATACAGAACACCCCCGACCACCTCCCATGGGGTGTCTATGATGTCATTGACCTATGACCTCCATATGACCTGCCCTTGACCTCTGACCTCATTTGATATTTGTGAGGTCACACTATTGTCCTTAGGTCAACAGGGAGTTGAATAGGTACTGTAGTCAATCGCACCTCTGTCAATAAGGTATTGAGACCGAATTGAATAGCTATTTTAGGGGAGTTGACAGAATAACTCATTAATATGCAAATGTATGCATGACGTCACAGGTCAAGTAGGTTAATAAAGGGTCAACTGACCAGATGCAACCATGCAATTAATTACTTGACCATTCGTTTACCGTAGAACACGGGATAGTAATGAATGTCCCTATATGGAAATGTTACTACGACCGGGGTTGGGTTGGGTCTTGACGCAGAATGGAACAGGTTAATGTAGAAAGATCTCCCAGATATTCAGTTACGTTAATAAAGGGTCAACTGATCGGAGGCAATCATACAGTTAATTACTTGACCAATCGTTAAACGTAGAACAACACGTGTCTAAACACAAGGTGGCGGACGTTGGCATGCACGCTCACAGGCGTCACGTGACCTCGGTCAGACTTAAATTTGTCTGATACAGACTATACTAGACTCCGTCCGACAAGTTAAACGCTTGACTGCACCCTATACCATGGCCAGCCACCCACCTGTAGATGATATAGTCCGTTCTACATAGCGTATACATTTGTAAACACATCCAACTAAGCCTTATCTTTCTTTCTTTTTTCCCCTTGGAATTAGACACAGCATAGTTTTGAAGTACAATGGGAAACGGCGTAGTGTACCAACTTATTATTTTAATAAATTGAACCTTGATACTTTTGTATTGTGTTTCTTTTCTCCAGAGCTGAAGGTTGAGTCACGTGATTTATTAATGAGATGCCATTCTCCATATAAGAAAAATCATACTTTTGAGGCAAAGCAGGCGTAAAAAGTCATATCATCCAAAAATATCCCAAACGGTAGATATCCCTTGTGTGAGATCAAGCGATACCTCCTTGGAGATATCACTACAAATGATGTCATTTGATTGTAGCAATATCTCCAGCATGACATCATATCCATTGTACCATCACTGTGACGTCACAATTGTCAAGCAGCAGCATTGTTCTGGCTTATGGCAGCCCAGAAAATGTCAGTAAAACATTTACAAAATAACACTCTAAATTACCTGAGTAAACTTCTTTTTCCCTAGTATGAATAATCTCTTACAAGAAAAACTCCCTTCAGTGAATCTACAAGTAATGATGGACTCAAATCTTTTAATATGTAAGGACAGACATGCTTTCAGTAGATGTGTTTTGATTCATATGAATACAACATTATGTTTTAAAACAGTAATTGATGAATGAGTGTGACCAAAGTGAGGGCATCAGGTATTTGTGTATACCTCAAACCAAAATCTCAAAAAGCTTTCATCAAAAAAGATCTACGTCATCAAATGTCTTTTCGACCACAAGCAGAACATGGCCACATTTTATCAAATTTGATTTAAACACATCACACTTTTCACAGACAAAGTGGTCAAATTGGCTTTGACACCTCAAGATGACAAGAGGTACTTGTTGGCAGATGGGATCGAATCTCGACCCTATGGGTTTAATTCTATTTAGAAATTTGTAACTTCTAAGAAAGTATGACAAGTGCCTAAGCAAACAATGGTTACATCATCACGAAATGAAAACCTCGAGTGGGGTTTGAACCTTGAAATGTGAAAGGTATTTATGTATTTTGTGTTTGGTTGTTTTTTAAATCATTAATTGTGAAAAAAAAAATTGTGAACTTCTTAAAAGATATTATTTCTTAAAAACGTAAGCTAAGTTCTTTTTTTTATGATAGAAACATTAACTTGTATGAAGCAAACTGAAAAAATAAGTTTTTGTTTGATAAAAAAAAAAATTCAACGAGAAAATAAAACTTGCATGAAAAAAATTAATAACAATGTAAATTTGTTTTGCGTGAGTGAAAAAACACATTCGTGCATCAAAAAATAAATAATGTGTAAATTAATATATGACAGAATTTTTTTTATTAACAAAGTATTTTTTTCTTTTGCATGATAGACAAATAAAACTTACATAAGAAGAAAACATAACATGCTTTGCTTTCTATTCACAGAATTAGTGGGGGTACAAATAAATTTGAATACAATTCAACCCATAGATATATGACATGGCAAAGGGAATGTTCCCTCGAAGAGATGTTTGAATCCCACACCAGACAAGTGGAACATTTGAATCTGAGTCTTGCCGTGAGAAAACTCACGAATAAATCCTCATCGTGGCTTCAGATTATTTAGTGAAAAAATATGTTGAAGTAAAATTTATATTGTGTGGGCAAAGTCATTAATAAGTCATAGACCAGACAAGGCCACAAGAAAGTATTGTATTCATTGACCATCCCACAAGGATGACAGATTGCAAGACAGTAACACTCTTGGTTCGTAGGTATCAACCGAAGCACGCAGGATTCACTGCATCAAATAACCCCATTGGTGATGCAGGCTTTCCTCCATCCATAAACCTTGCCGCCGCGATATAATTGTTGAAAACGGTGTTAAACCCCAACTCCCTCACTCTCTCATGCTTATGTCAAGAATATATATTTGTTGTGAAACATTAAACAGTATCAGTCACATTGAGTGAAGTGAGTGAATTATTATTATTCTAGCCTTGGAAAAAATTGTCAAGTCTGTACGGATCAGACAAATTACTCCCTCAAGTTGGTTATGGTCAAAAGAGATCACACAGTTTGGTCAATCAAAGCTCAATGTATATTCTGAAACAAAAGCCAAGTTTGGAGTCCCTGGTGTAAAAAGATTAAGATACTTGGAGGATAACTAATAATTCTCATTCTAATTGAAATTTAAAAAATGGAAAAAGTAAAATAAAGAAATTGTAAAGTTTTTCAATTGAAAAATAAAACCCGGTCTCGTGAGAGAATGAATGAATGAATGAACCATTCATGAAGTTTATTTTGAAACACTTCTCACACTATTTCTTGATGACCAAAGTCCGCTTTTTATAGCGAACTTTGAAAACTAAAATTGTTCATTATGAAATAATGAACCTTGGCTTAATGTGCCAGCTAAAACTAACTTGTAACATAATATTCAATCTTACATACAGGCTTGACCCCAATTATTTTCTATGGAGATGTACATATCTGCGAGCTTTGACTATTGTATTCAACAGGTCAAATCTGTTTGCATGGTTAGGTTCATTCACGGAATGAATCCGATGGGTCACACCTGTAGACAAGTGATCTTTCCAGTTTCACATGATCCCTGAAAAAACGTCCATAGGTAAAGGAAACGATAACACTAAACTATAAATGAGATGGTTCGATTTATTTACAGGGACTTGAAGGTACATACGGTTATAGGGAAACCATGTTTTCTATGGGATAAGAGAGACCTTAAACTAACTTACGGGAATAGAAGCTGCAGTTAATTATGATTTAAATCTGAGAATCAGGTATCAAAAAGATCCCTTCAAGACCTTTAAGGTAAATGAAGTGTGCATTGTCAAAACACAAAACACAAAACACAAACATCATCATAACACGTGTAGTAAGCCCTGGTTTGTATCTGAGTGCATACAGATGCGCAAGTCATATAATAAGGCAAGAAAACGTTACAATTTCTCCAGTTTTAACCAACAGAAACTCCTATCTACAACAGGCTAAGGCATACAAAAGATGTTTAAATAAATACAAGAACAAATTTAAACACAGCGTAAGTAAACTTCTAAGAAGCAAAGCTAAACACTCATGTAAAGACTTTTGGGAAGTCTGAAATCCAAACCCCGAGGCCCTGAAACATTTAAAGCGAAATAAGGCACCTGACATTGACCTCATAGAAAATGACTACTTAATTGACAGTATCGATTTCCTTGGATGGGTTTATGTAGATTTATTTAACATGATCTTTCCCACAGGAACTGTACGCGATGTTTGGCTTACAGGAATTATTAAACCAATATATAAAAATAAAGGTGGCATATCAGATCCAGGCTCTACCGTCCCATTACTATTCTTAGCTTTATTTTAAACAGTAGATTATCAAAATTCCTTGATAGAAACAAACTTATATCTTCTTCACAAGCAGGATTTTGTAAAGGGCTGTCAAAAATTGGCAACATCTTTATACATTATACTATTATTAGTATCCCCAAACACACGAAGAAGAAACTCTTTTGTGCTTTCATAGATTTCACCGAAGCCATTGATAACATTTGGAGAGTTGGACTTTGGCATGAAATGTTGCATCATGGTATTTGAGGCAAATTTCTGACACTCGTTAAAAATATGTATGGAAATATAAAATCATGAGGAACCTAGAGAAGAAAGAGTTTCTACTGTCTGTAAACATGGTTATATCGAAGATGAGTATCACTTTATTTTAATTTGTGATTGTTATCAATCTTTGAGGTCAGAATATATATCCTTGCATTATTATGAGTTCCCGACAAGACATAAGTACAATATTATAATATTCTGAAAGCTATGAACCTAAGGCAACGTCTGTTGGGATCTCCAACTCCCATCACCACACTGTAACCATTGTATCATGGGCCTATGGCCTACAATACATCTGAATAAAGTGAATGACTGCAAAAATCATGCGTGTTACATAATAATGACATATCCGAATACTTTCTAAGTATGTCGGGTGTGCATCAAGGAGAAAACCTTTCACCATTACTGTTTTCAATATACTTAAATGATTTAGAAGCACATCCCATATCACATGACTGTGATGGTGTTAAAGTAGAATATGTCGGTGATAATGGAATATGATGTGCACAATTATTTCTTCTTCTATAAGCAGAAGATACTGTGTTATTCGGACAAAACCCACTTTCTTTACAATATACTCTACAACATGGAAACTGACTGTTAACATAGATAAAACAAAAATTGTAATTTTCGGTTCAGGTGTAGCAAGAAAAACGAAATTATCATTTTATTTGGGATATCAAGAACTCGACATCGTTGGTATAAATGTCTAGGTATTCAATTGAACAAAAACAGAAGTTTTATCTATGCTATTAAAAGTTTAACTGCTACAAAAGCAATGTTTTGTCTACTGAAAAGAGCCAGAAATATTAAATTGCCACTGGATTGCTTACTAAAGCCTTTCGATGTCATGATTGTACCAATTTTAATGTATGGGGCAGTAGTATGCAGTTATGAGCAAGTAGATATCATTGAAAGAGTTTGCTTAACATTTCTTAAAAATTACTACAGGGTTACGGCAACCAACTCCCAGCTTCTTTCTTTATGGCGAACTTGACAGAACTCCACTTAAAATGCAGATCTGCAAACGAGTTAAAAGCTTTTGGTATAAGCTTAATACTCCAACTGATAATATGAAACTCTCTCAGATAATGTATAATTATATTAAACTAGATAATAATACAAGTAGAGATTGCTGCAGAGCATCAATAGCTCCCCGCAATATAATGTAATGTGCAGAGGAAGGAAGTGTAAGCTATGGGAGGAGAGAATTTGTGTTAAGTACAAATTGGTTGTTATTAATGTACTTTTCTTTGGAAAGCACAATAAAAGAAACAGTGTCCTTAATCGGTCAGCATAAAGAAAACCCCGGCAAGAAAACTGGGCCTGCCAGGCAAAACTTGATATATACCCACTATTAGTACCAATAAAAAAAATCCTATATAGATAACACAACAAATGTCATTCTAAAGCATGCTTTTGCAGCAAATATCAATATTTCTGGTCAAAATGTTGGTTGGGTTAAATAAAGCAAACTTTTAAAATAGTAAACACAAAAAATGTAATGAATCCACTCTAAATAT